CACCGCCCTGCTCTGTGGGAACGGTGGTGCCAGTTCCTCCTACCAGCAGGGACACCCAGTGTGTCCCTCCTTCTATAAAAGCCACAGGGTGGGGAGGGGAGAGGAGGGGAGGGGAGGGAGGAGGAGGGGAGATGAGGAGGAGCAGGAGGCGGGCATGCAAACCCCCCCCCCCATTCAGATGTTAGTTGGAGTGGGTGAGTGGTCGCCACCTGCCCTCCCACGCACATGGTGGGAAGCTCAGCCTGGAAGGGGACGGAGGTTGAGAGGACCCGGCCCACCCCTCTGGGGACGCCCAGGTGGGCAGGGGAGCAGGTAGCGAGACTCCATGTCTGGGCACAGCTTCCCGGGAGTGAGTCCATGAGGTTAATGAGCACCGCACCATTGCCCGTGCCGCCCGCCCCATCTCGTGCCTGCTGGCCTGCGCCCCCGCCCCCCGCCGGGGCTGGCGTAGGGAGAACAGGGATGTACCGTCCGACGTCGCCTGCTGGTGGGGTTTTTTACATTTGACGTAATCGTGGTCAATCGGAGTGGCTGTGTAAGGTGGGGATGTCAGACCTGGGCCAGAGGAGGAGGGGAGGGAGCCTCCGGGGCCTGGCAGCGGCCCGGCCGAAGAGTGGGAGTCCTCGTCCGCCAGGCAGGCCTTCTCCCTGGGGGGCCAGAGCAGTGGTCAGAATCGACCCCACACCCTGCATCTACCAGGAGACAGGGAGGACACTCTCTCTCTCTCTCTCACACACACACAGGCAGACTCTCTGGGGAAGTTCAAGGGGCAGAGGCAGCCCTGGGTGGGCGTCTCTGGGGACATGGCCCGGTGCACACTCACTTCTCTGAAGCTCGGGGCATGTTCTTCTCCTCGCCCCTGGCAAAGGGCCCTTCCGCAGCCTCCTTCATGAAGCCGACCAGCACCTCCGCGCTGACGCCGGCCTCGGCCGTGCCCAGGAGCTTCAGGATGGATGCATGAAGCCGGAAGTACACCTAGGAGGCAACCAACCAAGTGTCAGCACCCGGCCCACAGCTGCACTGCCACCACGCTCAGCTTGCGTGGGGTTCACCTCTACCAGCTGCGGCTGAATGCGAAAAAGGAGGCTTCCTGGTCACATGGGGAGCGGGACAGCCCTGCAGCTCCACTGACAGCCCCTCCTCCCCACTGGGACCCAGTGTCTTGCAGAACCGGGAGAAGAAGCCACTGCATTCCCCTCCACACTCACTGCACGCCTCGATTTACAAATGGGGCCAGGAGAGCCGAGGGTCAGGGTCAGCTGAGGCTCCGTCTGTCCCCTGCCCTCAGGAATACCACAGCACTTAGTCAGGCAGGGGCTGTCACTGCCCAGTGCACACCAGGCTGGGGTGGGGGGGGTGCACACTTGGGCGGGGGGTGGGGGGGGAGGCTGGGGATGTGCCCCTGTCCCCGCATGGTCGGCCAGCTTCATCCCAGAGGGGCTCTCAAGAGACGCCACCCCCTCAAACACTGGCCCTCCACCCCCAGCCGGTACCCTGGATACAGGCGGCATTGAGGCCCCCACACACTTGGGGAGTAGACTAGGAGGAGCATGCTTCTCCAAGTGGTACTTCAGGTTTCCCCTGGTAGAGCTAAGTTCTCACTGGGGTCAGGCGCAGACGATGGTCGCTCACAAAGCACTGCTGCCTTTATCAAACAATCGGATCGGCACAGGGAGAGGGCCCCCACACGTCCGAAGGCGGCGGTGGACCCACTTCTTCTCTACCTCTCACCCTTCCCCGAGAGCTCTGGGCTCTTTGATTGAGATCCGGTCGGAACGGCAGCTTGGGCACCCTCAGGGGCTCAGGCGGTGTGCCTCTGGAACAGTCTTTGAGTTTGAGGCATAAAAGGAAGTTGGAAGGGAGCACGATCGGGGCTGGCGGGTGAGGACAGGCCTGGCTCCTCTGCGAGGGCGAGCAGATGCACTGGCATGGTGGGGAAATGTTCCTCAGGGCCACCCAGCCAGCCTGGTTCTCACCAATGAATGTCCCTTTGTTCCAACTTCTTCCTAAGCCCCGCGATCGTCCTGTGTCCTCTGAGAAAACCTGTCTCCAAACCAGGGCGTCCACCTCTGAGGGGGCTCTGCCTTGAAGGCAACGGCCGTGCTCTCAGACCCAACACGCCCGAGACATCTGCTTGCTGCCACCACCAAGATCAGCCCGAGCGAACGAACCGCAGGAGCCCTGGTGCCTGCAAACCCAAGGTCAGCAGTTTGAAACCACCAGCTGCTCCACGAGAGAAAGATGAGGCTTCCTGCTCTTGCAAAGAGTTAGTCTTGGAAATCCGCAGGGGCAATTGGACTCTCTCCTGTTGGGTGGCTGTTGAGTTGTCGGTTTGGGATGAACTGGGGCCCTAGCAGGCAGCAGTACCTGTGACTCCCCTGCTAAGTCGGTGAACATGATTTGTAAAGCATGATGCACATGCATACCAGCGGCCCCAAAGTAACATGCTGGCCGATGTTGGCCGTGGCCACACTTGCTCGGGAGCTGACCACTCTCGTGAGGGCTGTGGGGGCCAGTGCTTGGGGCAGAACGTTTTGAGGAGGCTTAAACCCACTCTGGAAACTCGGGCCTGCCTTTGTAGGGGGTCTCAAAAAGGCCCTGGAACAACTTGAACTCCCTCTTTCCCTCGAAGGGCCCTCGTGTCCCAACCGCTGGTGGGGTGCTTTCCTGTTCTGACTCATTTCCGTGGTTCCCACGGTGCTTGTGTGCCAGTGCCACACGCAGAGGGGCCCTCCTGCTTCCTTGCCCTGCAGCCTGCAGCCGGCCCTGGCACCGGCCGGGGGAATCTCAGGGGACACCCAGGCCCGGAAGAGCCGTGCGGCTGAGCCTGCCACCACCGGGTGTCCTTCCTGTGGCCTGGCCGGCCTCGCCCCCCTGCCCAGCCTCACCTCCAGCGCCTCCATGGCCAGCTCGGGCGGGTTGTGATAGTGGATCTTTTTGGGGTAGCGGGCGGCCTCCTCGTGCAGGTGGTGGCCGGCCTGTCGGTAGTGCAGCAGGTACACGGTCGGCGGCTGCTGCTGCTTCTCGGCCACCTTGCCCAGCATGTAGTGGATGAGCCACTCCTCCTCTTCCCCGTTGCCTTCGCAGCCGGCCGCCGACGTGAAGCAGTGCCGTGCCGTCTCCAGCATGCTATCACGCCGCCCCTCCATCTGCAACAAGACACGGCCCCCCTGGTCCTCCTGAGCAGGAGAAGGCAGGCTCTGCCTGAGCCTACAGCCCACCTCCCAGAACCTTGGCTCGCCGCTGAAACTTGGCGTGCGGGGAACCATTACAGTTGAGACTTGGAGGAGTGGGGGCTCCTCAAAGCTCAGGCTCCGGGGGATGGGGGCTTCCTTCAGCCCAGATATCCTCACAACCTCCACCACATCAGAAGTGTGAGGCCCACTCACAGCACCCTGCCCTCAGTGGGACATGCAACCCAGCCAGGGCCTGGGTGGGCGGTGTCTCTGTGGAGGGAGTCTCAGGTTGGGGTGCTGGCCGGACTCTGCACATGGCAGATTGGCGAGGAGCCTTCTTCCAATCCTGAGACTTCTTCTGCTTCATGAAGCCCAGCTTCGCAACCGTCTGCTCAGCATACGGGTGAGGAGGGGTGGTGGGAGACACAGCGCCGACACATGCGCCCAGCATCCCTTTGCCGTCTGACCAACTCCTGCTTGGACATGCACGCGAGCAGGTGTTCTGAGTGCCACTCCTCAAGTTAGTTACGAGCCACACCATCAAATGTCTCTGTGGTCAATCAAGTGCGGACACACGTCTTTCTGGAACCCTCTGCTCCCAGGCACCAGCCGCATCATGTCAGCTGGTCAATCAAGTGCGGACACACG